CCCCAAAACCCCAAAACCCCAAAACCCCAAAACCCCAAAACCCCGGAGAAGAGATTTTAATTTGAGAGAAAGAGTTTAAAAACATTAAAATATTTTAAATATGAGCATAAAGAGGATTGATTCCAGTCAATTTTCAAGTAAAGGGGATGATTCCACTCCTACTGGTATGAATAAGACGGATATTCAGTGGTCTGATACCTCTAAAATTCATTCCTCAATGTGAAGGTAAATTAATCTCTCTGAAATATGTTCGCTTCCAATATAATTCAAATACTCTAGAAGATCATTTCAAACTTCTATTTATGAAAACTATATCCATATGATGTTATTTAAACAGAAAAATGATCAAAATTTTGCTAAATATGATTTTATTCCTCCTAAATATGCTCTTAATTAGGGGCTTCTAAAACATTGAAGGTCCGATGCATAATTTAGATAAAACTATTTGGATTATAGATTTAGTTATACAATTTTGCTGAAAATTTTACTCATTCTTCATGCTAATAAACAAGAGATGATTGTAGTGCATTTGCTCTATAAATTGTTTTGAAATTTCTCTTAATTTCCTTGTATAGGTTACAAAACGATTGCCCCAATAATTATGAAGATGAAGCTTATAACTCCAACACTAAATTCCAAGTTTCAAAGAAAGTAACGAGAGCTCACAAATTTACCCTTGAGGAAGGAACAGAAAACGAAGATGCCATGAAAATAGAAAGACTCGCCAATGGGTATAGTCCTAAACGAACCTTTGCCAAACAATTAACAGTTACTGCTTTCAGTGATGCTGGAGGTATATAATATCTTATTTTCTGATTAGGCTCGAATGATGAAAAGAATAAAATGGAATCTCCATTTCAAGCAGGTAAAAGAAATTATGTAATACATGAAGCTAGGCCAAAAAGTGCTGGTTCAGGAAGTAGCAAGAACAATCATGACATTGAATATCAAGATCCAAATGAAAGAGCGTTACATAAAATCATTAGCAATACTTTGAAGTATTACCAGTTCAATGAAAACTACAGCACAGATGTCATCATGAGGCTCTATGCAGAGCATGACTTAATCAAATTTGCTGGACTTGCTACTAATGATGCTAACCCCAGATGTCTCAACTCCATCATCGACATGGGCGAGTACCCAATCGTGAAAGTGTTTAATAAATAAGCCCATGGCTGACTACAATGACATCGAAAACAACAGTGCAAAATCGGAAGAACAGAAAGGGTTCGGCAAGCTCAAAGAAAAGAAGAAGAAATACTCAGACCTGACATTTCTTCCTCCTCCACCGAATAAATACCTTGATGTTATCACTTACTCTGAATGTTCTCCGAGCTTCGAGATCAGAGAAGAGCAAGTCAGCCAGGAAACACTGAACATGACTGAAGCTGACCGAGAAGAGTTCAATGTGACAATATCGCAGATCAACCAGATATTAAAACCTTTGAGGGGAAAAGTCGCATTGTATGACAGATTCATATTAATCTATTTGATCTTCGGCTTCTTAATTGCAGGATCAATAGGAGTAATATTCTGGATCTTCCTTCACTTTGCTATTTCAATATTCATTGGAGTCATATACTTCACAATCTTAGGTATCCTTGTATACATGTCAAAGAAGAAGTCATCTACTTTAATTAAGAAAGCTCATCTCTGACTTGCTCTGTACCTTCATGTGGAGAACAATCGATACTACAGACACAAGAAGATCATAATGCGGCCTGGCTACATGGCCAAGTGGATCGAAGTGCTTTATCTGGAGCCCCTCATCAGAGAAGAAGGAGGTAATTCTGCTATACTCAAACGGCTCTGAGCTCAATGCTAATACTTTATTTTCAGTAATGTATTTATCGAAAGGGGTTTTGGGGTTTTGGGGTTTTGGGGTTTTGGGGTTTTGGGGTTTTGGGG